GCTCCTGGCCTATGTAGAACTACTTTTGACCCCTGTATAACTGCTCTGGGCCCCATAGAATTGATCCTGGCCCCTATAGAACTGCATTTGGCCCTGTAGAACTGCTCCTGTAAAATAGGTCCTGGTCCCTGTAGAAATGCTGTTGGCCACCGTAGTAATGATCCAGGCCTATAGGATTGCTAATGGCCCCTGTTACAGACAGGGAAATACATCCAGAGTCATTTACATTTAAGATCATAAAATATGACTGCACAGTTACCTTGCCTAGTAAAAAATTAAATTCATTGACACTAATTTACTGACTTAGTTACTATTTGATCAAACTTGCTGTTAGCTTTAATTGAATACTTTTTATACCTAATGTTCACAGCACTGGTTATGGCCCCACTACTGAACAACTAATCAGTTGCTAATGACGTATTATCTGGCACAGAAACAGTAACCTATTCTCCTCTTTGACCAATTTACAGTTTTACTTTAAAAATGATTCAAAAAATTAAGCTTTGGGGGCGTGCCATTTATCGAGGATGTAGTCCTCGACGCGGGCGACCCGGGTTCGAATCTTGCCTGTGTCTCCCTGGATGTCTTCCTCATGTCCCAGATGTCTTTAGCATGTCTCTCTCCCTTTCTTGTTAGCCTACTGTCCATAAAAAAAAACAACAACAACAAGCCACTAGAGCCATAAAAAAAAAAAACAAAGCAAAAAAAAAAATGAAGCTTCAGCCATTTTGAGAAAGAATCCATTTCCATTAGATCAGGGATCTGCAGCTTCAGAGGTCTTTGGCTAACTTCATTTCTAAAACATGACTATTTCACTTTTTCTTTTATTCGTTTTACGGCTTTGTGGGACAGAGTTTTAAGAATCCATAGTTAATACAAAAGATTTTAGACCATGAATATTAGCGAAGCAGAAAGTAGAATGTCGATTAAGAAAAAAAACAAAAGAAACGTTCTAATTTGAGTTTTTGAGAAACTAAACGAGCTTAAAGGGATGAACCAAATATGGTATTTAAAATCAGCAGATCTTTATGATGAAAGTCAGTAATCAGTTTATTTTTAGATGTGTGGATCAGAAAAACTGCTTCTCACAGTTCATACGGTAACCATGGTTACAAGGCGTGAGTGCGTTCAATGATAGGATGGGTAATGTGGACATCTGCTGGTTCTGAGTAGATCAGGACCTCACAGATTCTAAAGATTCTTCTCCATCAGAATGGACTGTTGGATGCTTCCTCCAATAATTTTCTTTTCATTTCTTTGCAGGACTCCATCAACAACAACTCTTTGGGTAAAAAGGACAGCTGGAAGGACTCCCATTCCTCCTCCCCACACATCACCGGTACGACAAACACGTCACACCTGCAATAAAAACTTCACAAATGCAACAAACGGGCAACATGATATGCCACAAACCATTCAGAAGTACAGCAAATTATGACACAAAAAAATCAAGGTATAGGTGCAAGAAGCATGTCCAGAGTGACACTTCCAAAATGTGACAGCTGGAAAACAACACATCAGACGGGATTTTACGATGCATCACTCTCAGCGGCAGAGTTACCCATAATGCAGCAGTGCTCTTCTGCTAGCATAACAAGCTGGTGACCTCAACGGAGCAATGTTGCGATTAAAATTAAGAACGTAATAGAGAGCACACTTAATATCATCAGATTTTTTTGAGGCAAAACCTGCAGAAAACGTTCAGTGGAGAGTTTCTTCTTTGGCTTGTACGGAAGAGGATTAGGGCCACTGAAAAAATAAAAAAAAGTGAACTGATTTTAAAATTTTATTTCAGTATAACATGAGAAAAAAATCAGAATTCTGACTTTAATCTTTTTTAATCTTTTTTCTCTGAATTCTGACAGCTAACAAACATGTTAGACTTAAGCCATAGCCATGTCTGTTTTAAAGACTAAACTAGCTCTCTTGTTTTAATCACCTTCTGCTCTTCCATTAATGAAATAGCTTCACCCCACGGGCGTGTAAAAAGTCACCGCATCTCTTCCTTCATGTTGCCCATACACATTAAGATCCAAAGTTCTGAGATGAAAATCAGAATTGTGAGAAAAAAGTCAGAAATCTGAGATTAAAGTCAGAATTCTGACATTTTTTCTCATATTATACTGAAATAAAATTTAAAGATTTGTTAACTTTTTAAAACAATTTTTCAGTGGCCCTAATCCTCATCCGTAGGCTTGCCATGTTTTATAGACTACGAAATTACAAAAACAGAGTGCGTCACTTGGAGTTTTTACATCACATCCATACTTACCTGATTGGTTCTAACCAAATGATGCTGACTCTGTTAGACCTGCCTGTTACCAGCCTGAAACTATGTATACACAGCGCATTAGTCTGGATGGCCAGGCTAGAAATAAACATGTTACATGTGCAATGAAACATTGCCGGGACTACAAACATGGCACATAGGCAACAATTTATTTTTTTTTGCAACTGATGCAATAAACATGTTCCAGGTGCTAAAGAACATGTTACATGTCAAATAAACCCATCATAGGTACACGAATGCAAAAACCCAAACTGGCCAATGGTGCATGCAACAAACTTGTCATAGCACTGTAAACCTTAATGTTTAAAATAATTAAATGGCATGAAAAGTCGAGTCATTATTTTGTAAAATTACTGCTGAATGTGTTCAGTTAATGTAAAGTTTTTTAGGGTACATTTAACACAAACCCTCTGAGTGATTTGAATTATTGGCATATTAATTAAAAAGACATTTTGTACGTTTTTATTGAAAGGTATCTTCACAATAGCCTTTTTTATTTGAACCTTTCTGACTAAACATCATTTGATCGGAAGATTGATGCCGATGCATCTATAAGCCTGTAGCCTGATTTCCTGAGGCACCCAGCACCTCAGACACAAATGGCAACTAGGTGAAAAAAGCAACAACAACAGAAAAAAAGTCGAGTATGAGCGCAAGTTACAAGAAAAAGCAGAAGAGTATAATGCCAATTTTAAATAGCTCAACAATTAACAACTTAACTGTAATAAGGAAACACTGGTGCAGATTTGAACAATTAGACCTCATTGGATGAGGAGCTGTCAGTGGGTGGAGCTAACGCTGTAACACCATGACTGCAGTTAGATTTAAGACGTGTCCGAACATCAGCCCTAACCCCTAAATCAGTAAATAGAGAGGGGTATAGTGGACTTTATGGTGAACTCAGTAAACTGACTGTTCGGACAGATGATTACTACTTTTTGCTCCTGGTTGGTCACGTAGCTCCACCTACCTGCATGGTGCCTGCGCCATCTTTGTTATTCATCGCCACCATCATCCCATGATAAATATATCTGAACATATCTGCCCGCCTTGTGACCATGGATTATTACTGCGACAGAGTATGAAGTTGTAATATTACAAGAATAATGTTGTGATATTACGAGAATAAAGTTGTAATATGAGAATAAAGTTGAAAGATAATGAGAATAAAGTCAACATACGCCAACCTGTTTCAGAAAGAAAGCTTCGAGCTCCGACCAACATATGACGACCGACTAGCTCCACCAAAAAGCAATCTGAGTCAACTTTGACATACTGCCCAATTTGATGCTGGTGCTAAAAGATCAATGCCAAAGCATAACTTCAGATGATGCTCGACATTCCTCATTTTAGGAAAGAAAGTGCTTCTTGTAAGAGTTGTCATAAAAACATGTTTATTATTGTAATATAAGGACTTTACTCTAATAATATTGCGACTTTATTCTTATTATATTACGACTTTATTCTCGTTATGTTATGACTTTATTCTTGTTACGTTACAACTTTGTTTTCGTAATTGTAGTGGTCCGTCCAGTAAGGCACAAGGACAAAGGCATATAAAAAAAGTATTTTCTATTTATTTCCAAAAAAATTCTTCTCAAAAGGACTTAAATTAAGTCTCAAAAAATATACCAAAAGGTG